ATAAAAATTATAGTTGTAATTAACAATAATAATTTTAATTATTATTGTTGATGTTGTTGTCGCAGTAATTAAAAATTTTTATAATTATTATTATTATTATTTAAAGTTTTCATTATTTGACTGTAACTAATTGAACTTTTTTTTATTAAAATAAAACTTGAGGGTTAAATCTGCCAACTGGTTGATTGAATGGTGGATTGACTGAATGGTTGATTCATAGGTAGATAGATAAATTGATTGATTGATTGATTGATTGATTGATTGATTGATTGATTAGTAGATCCACAAATTGATTGATTGGTTGACTTGACTGGTTGATTAATTGATTGACCAAGTGAGTTATTGATTGATTGATTAGTAGTTAGACAAATTGATTGATTGGTTGGTTGACTGGTTGATTAATTGATTGATCAAGCGAGCGATTGATTGATTAATTGGTTGATTGATTAATTGATATTCATAATATGTATAACAATAATTTATAATAATTTATAATTATCGTGACGGTAATTAGCACTTCTGGTAAACTTTTCATGACAGAGTTGATGAAGACAGTCTGCTACATGCTGACATGCAAACTTATAAGAAGGAGACTGGCCTAGATTACATCTTATTAAATTGCACCTTTAAAGTATTTCTATTATTTTTACCTTATTATTACTATTAAAAATACTATTATTATAGTTATTATTATTTTAATATCTCTGAAAAAATAAAATATAGACAATGTTTAAATGAAAATTTAATGTTTAAAAAAATTAATAACTAACTTGAAGAGATTCAATCAAAATTCAGCGAGTTGAATTCATTACTTTTACTTTTCTAATCGAATTTTACATAGCTAAAAAAGTTAGTCGCACGACGACGCGAATATTTTCAAATATATTGCCAGAAAACAAAGTTTCGTGACGTAAAAAATGTAGGGTCCAGCTAAGTTTTTCTTTTGAGGTTACTGTGTGGAAAAAGTTTTCTAGATGATGCCGACAAATTTGTAAGCAACAAGAATGAAAAAATGATCATTGAAGCTGGGAGGTTGTTGATGGTTTTTACGTTTTTAGTTACTTAATTGGTTTGAAAGTGTCTCAAAGTGGTCGGTTGTTCGTTACGCGTTGATTTGGTGTGGAGGTAGGTCTCACGAGGTTTTTGTCTTACGTACCAAAATTTGTCCTACATACTAAAATTTGTCTTACATACAAAAATTTGTCTTACATACCAAAATTTGTCTTACATACCAAAATTTGTCATTAACGTTTTTGAGAACTTTTGAAAATTCGTATAACGATATATTGGCGATGTACTGTTCATAAAGATATCGGCGCTAATGTCGATATCTTTATGGACGATGTATCGCTATTTTCAAATACCGATATACCGTTTTGATTCACCGGTATCCACAAATACCGAAACGTCGTTTGCATTTCTGGTTGAGTGCGTGTTGATTGGTACATCTGAGACTTATTCAAGACTAAACTGATAATAATTGGTCATCGAGTTAACTAGCTCAGTCGGTAGGAGTGCCATGTATCGCACTGCTATCACGCGATGGCCTGGTTCGAATACTGGCTGTCCGAAACTCAAAGACCACCAAACTCGTCTTGTGGTGTGGTGTGGTTTGGATGGAGTACAACCTTAGTGGCACGATGGCTTAATTGCAGCAAGGATGCAACAATCTGCAAGCAACTTTCCAGTTGGCAGAGCTGCATTGCAAAAAATTATAATGAATTAACATTAGTAATAATTATTATTATCAATAATAATAATAATTATTGATC